GACCATTTACACTCTATCTACAATCTCAATTAGGAGATGAAATTTTCATTTCTAAGCAGATTTGTCTGTGAATGACCTTTCCATGGCATTGCCTAAAGGGGTCATATGACGTTGCTAAAAACATTATTTGGTGTAATGCAATGTGTTAATGCGGCTTAAGGTTAAAAAAACACATTCTTTTCCACATAATGTACATTATTGTTGCTCCTCTATGCCCCGCCTTTCTGAAATGCGTAAATTTTGACAAAGCTCATCAATCTGAAAAGCGAGGTGTACGCTGATTGGCCAGCTATCCAGTGCGTTGTGATTGGCTGAATGCCTCAAGCGTGTGACATAAATGTTACGCCCCTTAACATACTGTGTCCCGGCGCGACAAGACAAAACCAATAAAACCCATTACAAACGAGGCATTTGTAGCATCCAGTGGGGACGTAAATACTGATTATAATGACTTATACTGTCTAACATAAAACCATGTTTGCATTTGGAATTGGAGAAACGACAATCAACAAGCGCTACTCTACACTGCTCAAAACTCGCGTTTGAATCATCAGTGGCAAATTATTTAAATGTGTAAACCTACTTACAGACTGTGAGTCAGAAGCACTAGACTGTCCTTGCAAAGTTGGAATTGCCCCACTTTATAGAAACAGCCTCTGTGCACAGACAAACAGCATTGTAGGCTACTCTCGCAGGTTCAGGAAACAGTCCTCCATAAAATCCATCCGCTGCGCATACACAAATATTTGGCTTGAACTGTTCTGGAACAGTGTTGTAAATACAACTTAACCACTGATTTCTAGTTGTGTCCTCTTTTGGAAGGCCAAACAAAGTTTTGCTTTCACAGCGAAACACACAGCGTCTCCACAACATGGCGGCAGAATGAGCGTTTTAGGAGGGCGTGATTGACTCTTAATTTTTATAAAGAATATCTCTTTGGATTTGAGACTTTAGTCTTTGCAACTTTACAGATCTTCTTTATGCACCAAGAGCTTGTAACACTCCAAAGAGAAAGGAAAAATTGAAATCGCATCATATGACCCCTTTAACTAACTCAAGAAACAGCAGCATATTTTGATTTGACACAAATGACTTGAAAATGCCACTGTTATTAATACACAGCAGTCTAGAGAACACCCAGCAAACTAAACTAAAACAATGCTCTCTAGACTGTGCAGATGGTGCATTTATCACAGGCAGTTAATCCTAACCAGCGATGGCAACACCAAGCAAAATATGCATAAATGGCTCAGCTCGGAGAAGCGATCACATAGTACAGCAGTGCACACAAAACACTGCAGCGCCAGTCTCAAATGCAGGGATTCACTGGAATGGAGAAGCTCATTATTCAGCAAGGAATTTTCATGTCAGGAGCAGCAGGAGGGCCTGGGATTGCCAGGGGCTTTTCTCTCTTGCATTCATCCTTGCTTTAATACTCTATCTTAGCCCCCCTTATTCCCTCTGAGAAGGTGTGGAGTTCATTCTTGTTATTGCTCAGGAGAGTAATGAGAACTGCACTGCCTATGCATGTTTGGAGAATGCATAGTGATTTTGTTAAACATTATCGATGTTGACCCTCACTGGAAAGTCACTGTTAGAATTTTTAAATGAGTACATGAAATTTAATGTCACACTTTTCCGAACCTGACCAGATTTTCAGATTCTTTCTTTCATCTGGTTAATTGAGTTTATAGAATGATTCTCTGACTGTCACACTTATTGCACTTATTAACTTTTAGTCCTGTTGGGACAGATAAAGAAATTAATATTCATAGTGAGGCATTAAATACATTTAAAGACAAACACTATTCGATGATTAGACAAGCCATGAGCCAGTTATTTGCACTTTGCACTACATTGCAGCTTACAATAATGTACACAAATCACATTATAGCCAATTACAAGGACAGGTAGCTGGTAGGCCTGAAACACCAAGGCAAAGCCTGCTGTTATTGCAAATTCAATGAACTTCTAATCATGTCACTATTAAGCCAATATACAGCCAGAATGCTAAATACCACTGTGGAAAGAGAACCAACCTGTATTGGGAATATTCAGTGAGTTTGTTCAATAAAGTCAAGAGAATGTGTCATTGTCTGTGTTTGATTAAGCCATGTTTAATTACTGTATAATTTACTACTCTTATAGTAAATTAATCCAAACATAAATGTTATATATAAACCTTGCAGTGTCAATGCCATTTCATGCAAAAGCAATATTTTGCTCCTCAAAAGAGACTTAAAAAAAAGAATATATATATATATATATATATATATATATATATATATATATTTACACTATAAGGGCCATAAGCTCTCTCTTTCGTTACCCTCACTGGTCTCACTCCTTATATTTGCCAAAAATCACTAAATTACCAATATTTCAAATGTTTTCATGAACATTGCATTGACATTTTGCTAAAGACCACATCTAGTTACACTAAGTGTAAAGAAAGGTAGCTGTCATTTACACTGAGTGTACTGTAAATTGTAGCAGATGCGATACACACAAAGTATAAACAGAAGTAATATGCTATTTGTACTAAAGGTAAATATCTGAGCAATACTGGGTGGAGTTAGTGAAAGCAGCCTTTGCCAACAAAGTTAGATATTTGCATTCAGAGTAAACAGACACAATGAACACAATGAACAGCGTCTCTGTGTGTGTGTGTGTGCACAATTTTAAGTTACCTTGGGGTCAAATGTAAGACAACACAACCATACAAACTCCCTGCACGACCGTAAAAGAATGGATTACCATTAAAGAGTCAGACCGTAAGAATCAATTAAAAAAAACTACAATTCAAGCAGTTGCACAATTACCATAAGGACATCACATCACAAGAAATAATCCTCTGCACACAATTTATTGTTGTCTTTTTTTATTCCTTACATCTCAGAAGCGTTTTCTCTAAGGCCAGTGGATGGTTTGAAGCCTGTGTGACTCCCCTAGAATAAATTAATGACATGCACAGGATGAATTTGCATAAGCCATTGGCCTATCCTTTGAGAGAAGCGGTTTGGTTTTAAAACGTAGACACAGACCCTTTGTCACTATACGAAATTCATTGGAGTCACCTGTTTCACTCGGCCTGCTTGTGAATGGCAAATGGGTGGAAACAAACAAGAGGAGAATAATCCAGACAATATTCATGCTTCCTTAAGAAAGTGTTTCTTTCTAATGTAGGTCAGACATGTCCTTGATCTTTTTAAATGTTATTTTTAAAATGTATTATATGATTTTAACCTGTCATTTTTAACCTGTTTAACCTGTTTAACCAAAACTATCACCTCTATATTTCCGTCTATGTGTCATTACAGTAGTAACCAGAATATTGCTGTTTGTGTTTATTCAATATAGTCTCAATATTTAAGACACTGATAACATTTGGTAAAATCAACATTTCCAGCAAATGTAAGGAGCAATTTAAAGGAAAATAATTATTTGCAACCCTTTCATGATCATCTAAGAAACAGGAAGCATAGGCTCACTTCTTTTAAGTGAACTGAGAACTCTACAGTGTTATGGCCTCAAAATGCACTTTCTGGACCATGAAATTACAAGATCTCTAATAGAGACCCTCAGGTCAGTCTGACACTAGACTCATCTTCTTAAACAAGTGTAAGGTTATGAAACCTGACCTGACTTTCACCTCACTTCTTTGCAGTCACACATGCAGTTAAATGGGCTTACTTGATGCTATGCATCTAAAGTAAACCTAAAAAAAACCTGCAAAATGGGCTTTCAGTACGATCAGTCTTCTGTGCTGTCTTTCTCTGTTTTATGTTATCTTGGTTCATGCTTCAAAAATGCATGAGAGTAGGTGGACGTGACGTTTTTAAAAATTAAGGAGCATAAAATTTTAAGCACCAAAAAAAAAGAGATACAGCTGTGCATTCAAGCAGGCAAATGGATGACACGGTTCCACGATTTCCAACCATTGCACTGAGGGTGCAACCACAATTTTGTTTGAGTCCATGGGGCTTATTTACACTGGCATTCAAAGTCCAAAACACCCTTGAGTTTATAGGCTTTGTTTGGGCACGCTGAACAATTAGCTTTTCTAAATGAATATGTAAATTCTCCTCAATAGAGTATGACTCAAATTTACATGCCCTGCTATTACACAGAGATAACATTGGCACTAGAGCTCTGACCAGCGTGTGAATAAAAAAAATAATATAGGGACTTTTAAAGCACTGTGTTGATGACTTGATACCCTAAAAATATGATCAGAAACTTCAAAAGAAGAAAAAAGGGAAGAAAAAAGAAAAATGCTACAGCAAACTTAACTTTGCACCCACTTCAGTGAAAAGGAGATAAATAAAAAAAGTGAATAAACAATTTAAATATTCCAGTAAATCCTGATCCTAAACAAAACCCTTTGTTTTACTAATGACCCTTTTTCAGTTCCACAAACACCTCTACTTCCATTTGATAAAATATATGCTTTCCAGTCCACAAGGGCTTTCAGTTCAAGAGCCTTGCTTATGAATAATACGCTAAGTTAGAAGTTAGAAGCAGTTAGAGGTAAATAATGTGTCGTACCCAGCTTGTTCGCTAGAAATACTCGATGTAAACAAATGCTTTTTGTATAAGTACTCTCTAAGGTGCTGTTTCTATACCTCTGTGTCATATTATGTTATTATTAATAGTTGCGCTTCTCATTTCGGCCCACTAGGTGCCACTAGAATTCATTGCTTTTATACAGCTTCTCGAGTTGAACCCCTTTATTTACGTTTGAGGGGAAAGCCCACAGACATAAGTAAAACGTTTTTGCTGAAGAAAGTTGTTAACTTGACTAAAATTGCACATTATATTATAATTAGCAATAACATTACAGACGTATATACAGTAAAAACCTGCCTTACACTTTATAGTATGTCGTTCGCTTTGCATCATCTTACTGCGCCAAAAATGAAATATTCTGCCTGATGATTGGTTTATACTTACGTCAATCACAGTGAATCACCAATCACGGATAACGTTCCAAATTCACCACATTGTTGCATCAGCATTTGCCTCCCCGCAATATCCGGGAAACGTGTGTGCCGGGGTCCTAAATAAAGACGGTACACATCTGTAAATTGTTGGATTGTGTTACTTGTTCGTGCTTGTGATTTTTTTTTTGTCTAATTATGGCGGGTGAGAGCGTTACCGAACAGATGAAGGGTCTGAAAATGGACGAGAAGAAGGTATCAGATGTGCATGCAGTTAGCTGACTAGCTAGTGAAGAAGTCCTCTGCGACAGTCATAGCATGTTGCTGTCAAAACCCTTAATGCCTTATTTTTTTTTTTTAATAGTTTTTGGGACCTTTGAAACACGTTGCTCTCGTTATTTGTCTCACAGCTGTGCAATATAGATATTTAATATGCTCTGTTTATTTATAGGTTTGCAGTCAGGTTGTTTCTGTATCACTTTACAGCGACAACTTTGAACTCTCTTCTTTGTTGACATGAGCAAATAATTGACAGTTGAAAGTAATAACCAATGAACGTCGCACCCTTTCTTTCAGAATAGCAAAGATGGAGGAAAGAAGAAAAACAAGAATGCTGGTGGAGATGCGGGTGGCAGGGCTGAGGTTTGTGCTGGTGTATATATATATATTTTTTTTTTTGCTGTGTTGTGTAGGATATTGCAACACTTGCGTATTCCACAATAGACTTTAAAGATTCTGTTTTTTTATATAAACTAATAAATCCATTGTTAAGAATGTGGATAGTATCGTGCACATTGTGTAACTGAAAATATTTGGCATATGTGCAATTGTGCATTGATTTCAATTATTTTCCTGAGGAGGATGAGCTTGCTTTGGTTCATAACTGTAAAGACAGTATATCTGCTGTTATTATTTATGATACATGCACTTTTGAAGGACCCTTGAAACAATGGATAGTGGTTACGTGATAAAAATAGAGTTTTGTCTCTTTTTTTTCTCTATAGTTGAATCCTCTACCACAGTACATCGATGAGCGTCTGTCCGTTTATAACCAGCTGAAGGCAGAACATGATGCCCTGCTGTCTGAGAAAGCAGCTAAAGACAGCAAGCCCATCAAGATCACACTGCCCGATGGAAAAGTAGTAGATGGGGAATCCTGGAAGACCACACCTTACCAGGTTGCCTGTGGCATCAGGTTAGTGACTATCTAAACTAAACAGGCAAGCTTTTTCAACTAAATGACATAGTTAGCAATGACACCTGTGAAAGATTGGTAAACTTTAATTTATTTTTAAATACTTATATAGTCAGTGTTAGGGTTGGGTGTCGTTTTTTTTTTTTTTCGATACCGGTGCCAAATCGGTACTTTTCAAACGGTTCCGGTGCCTGAACCGATACTTATTAAAAAATAAATAAAAAATACCCCCCAAAAATGATGGATTGGCCATTAGAATAGAAATAGAATAGAAAGTGCAAATGTTAGAGGGTCAAGTTTTTTAATAAAAAAAAAAACAAGCAGATAAAATTAGAAGTAGCATTAGAACAGAGAGTGCAAGAGTTAGAGGGTCAAATGTAGATGAAAGAGAAGTGTTTTCAGCCGTTTCTTGAAAATATTTAGGACTCAGCTGCTTGGATTGAGCTGGGCAGGTCATTCCCTTTACACAGAGTGCGTGTGATTTGCGAAAGTGAAAGTAAACCGCGCAAATGCTCATTCAAAAATGTTTAAATACACCGCATCCTGAGAGCGGCTCCCTGATGCGGCAAAATTATATACAATATTAGAATGTTTCAAGGAGTGGACACGAAAATCACGAGAGCGAAACACATGTTGCGGGAGCAGGCGGCTATAGTCAGAGATTCAGCGGGAGCGAGATTAAGAAAACAGCCGAATCCCAGACATTTTAGGCAATTAAGAAATCCTGGCCGGATGCATTTTTGTAGGTCCAAAAACAGAACATGTCCGGGGAAAAGAGGACATATGGGTCACCGTAATTTATAATCGATGTATTCTTTTTAAAGTAGTATATAGAACATATTTTCTGCCTCATTCTGTGACAAGAAGCCTCATCAGATCACAAAAGGAAGCATTTGACTGGTGTTGTGGAGTAAAAAGGTTAAAGTTTTCTCTTTTGTTGGACAACAGGTTTAGAAATGTGAATACAAGGGAGGTTTAGCTTTAGGCATTTTAATTTAAGCATGTTTAGCTTAGTTAACGGAAGTCTACCAAAAAAAATAGAAATACTATTGTGTGAATTGTTATATAGAAGTTTACCTTAAACTTAAACTTCTCCTTTTCATTGAAAGGCACCAACAAAAAGTGTTTTCTTAGTGAGTTGCTTGATTGTATTATGCTTCCAAATCAAGCAATAACTTGTAATCACAATGTATGACATTATAATGTGTTTTTCTTAACAGCCAAGGCCTTGCTGATAATACTGTAATCTCCAAAGTGAACAATGTGGTATGGGATCTAGACAGGCCCTTAGAGGAAGACTGCAGTCTAGTGTTTCTCAAATTCGACGATGAAGAGGCACAAGCAGTAAGTTTAGAGTTTTTTTCTCAAGTTTGCATTTGTGTTATTTATTTTAATGAAGGCTAGTCCACAATAGCAGTGACCCCACCACAAATAAAGTAGTGCACAGTGAAAATGTGTATCTTATGAATTATTTTATTGCATAGATGATTGAAAGAGTATATATTTACATATTATTTAAAAAACTTCTTTCTTAAGGTGTATTGGCACTCCAGTGCCCACATAATGGGAGAGGCCATGGAGCGAGTCTATGGAGGATGCCTTTGTTACGGGCCGCCCATTGAGAATGGCTTTTACTATGATATGTTTCTTGAAAATGAGTAAGTTAGACATATTCTCTGTTTATTATTATTTTTTAATTAGAATGATTTGGGATTTTTATCAACAGAACTGTAGTATTACAGGGCAAACTACAGGCTACAGATTATAATATGCTTTTCACGACTGTTGTCATCCATGCTAATGCAAGTCACTATTGTGTCTGTTTACCATCTATTGTTTAGAACTGTCAGTTAGAGCTTGAAAGTCACATTAATTTATCTGTGGTTAGAAATTATGCTAAGTAGCTGGACAAGAAATACAAAATTTTATATTTTTGTTCAGGAGTTTTCGATCCTTTTGAACAATTACATGACCGTTTTTTTGACCAGGATCAGTGCAGTGGCTTTAGATAAGCTGGAAGGAGCAGAATCAATGCTGTAGTTTACTTGTTGAAAGCCAATATTTTCAAATGTATTCATTTTGATAATATCATTGTCAAGCTCTGCCTTATTTGTTAGCGTGGCTCTGTCTGGTCCAGAGTAGGTATTTTTCTGAATATGCATTGCTTTGTCGTAGAAGATGACTGCTGGAAGACTAAAGTTTCTTTAATTGGTGACATATGTGAGATGTTTTGTAATTCTCTGCACTAGTTTTTATTTAAGAAGAGCTTATGTTTTTTTAATGAAACCTGTGCACCTTTGTATACTTTACTTTTACTTTCTCTATCCTCTCCCTTCCTCGCCTGCCGGTTCTCAGAGGTGTATCGAGTAATGATTTTCCCTGTTTGGAGAACTTGTGTAAGAAAATCATCAAAGAGAAGCAGTCCTTTGAGAGGCTGGAGGTAAAGAAGGAGACTCTGTTGGAGATGTTCAAGGTAGGGGCTTCCTTTCTAAGAGTGAGAAATATAAGCTCATGCTATGAATAAACTCTTAACACTTGAGCGCCTTGAAGTTCAGAGTCAGACCAGTGAAATCTGCTTCTCTCTTTCTTCTAGTACAACAAGTTCAAGTGCAGGATCCTAAATGAGAAGGTTACCACCCCAACAACTACAGTTTACAGGTATGATTTTGGTTGCAAAAACATATTTATAGGCGATTCTGAGTCGACTCATTCTTTTGAGAGACAATATCTTTATTTATCATGCACTTTTTTGAACAACTTTGCAGACTGTTTACATTGAAGGATAGCTACCTTACAAACCCCATATGACTTGCTCTTTAAACTTACATTTGTGAGGTATGTTTACTCAAGTAAACATTACATGTTTTCCTGCGTAAAATAATAAGAAAAAATGAAAACCTGAGAGAACATCCAGAACAATCTCTGTTCCCTGCACAACAGTGACATTTTGTGGTTATATTTGATTACTACACCCCTCCTGCATTTTTAACTGTGCAAGTTGCTGACTTTGTAACTCAAACTTTGTCTCTTTTCAGCCATGATGGCGATGACAAGAAGAGACCTGTGATCATCCACAGAGCGATTCTGGGTTCAGTGGAACGCATGATCGCCATCCTGACTGAAAACTATGGGGGAAAGTGGTACGGCTTAGGAAGGGGACTCTCACATGATAATGTTTAGTCACACACCATATGTGCACATACCAAATTCTCCTTTTGTTTCCCACAGGCCACTGTGGCTGTCCCCACGTCAGGTGATGGTGGTTCCTGTAGGACCCACTTGTGATGAGTACGCCCAGAGAGTACGTTCTGCTCGCTATTTCCCATGCACTAGTAGCTGTTAGCTCTGATTCCAGCACAAACATTGTTATCAAAAACAATCCCTTGTCAATCTCAGGTACAACAGGATTTCCACAGGGGAGGGTTGATGACGGATGTGGATCTGGACCCAGGCTGCACCCTGAACAAGAAGATCAGGAATGCTCAGTTGTCTCAGTACAATTTCATTTTAGGTGAGTGATCCAGAGTAATGTTTAAATTAGAAAAGTTTTGATAGATAATTTAAAAATCATGTTTTTTTTCCTGTTCGCTACTGTAAATTATTTTTTATTTTTGTGTATATATTGTAATTTAAATGTGCGAGGCTTCCAGTGTCAGCCGTTTCCAGTTATTTTACCTGTATAAAAACAGTCTGTAATGCTGCTTTATATTGCAAAGTGGTATTTGTTATAATATTATTAGAATTATCATCATAATAATAAGCACACTTATTTTTAAAGCAAATAGTTTTACAGTTTACTGCACTTTATTCTTCTAGTTATTTACCTATAGCAGCTAATGAATAGTCTTGCACATTTAAAGAAAATGGCATGCTTCTACGTTGCAAAATAAGGTGGATAATTGTCGATTTGTGGTAAAGTCGTAAACGGCACAAGCAAACCATGATTGCTTCTCAGTAGCTTAAATTCAAATAAAAAATGTAATTGACAAATGTCAGCTGCAGATATGTTAACAAATTCATTTTGATCCTAACTTTTACGGTTGATTCAATGACAGTGGTGGGTGAGAAGGAGAAGAGCAGTGACACAGTAAATGTTAGGACTCGTGACAACAAGGTGCATGGAGAAAGGAGTCTGACGGACTGCATGGAGCGACTCAAGGAGCTGAAGGCCTCAAGAACCTGTAACGCAGAAGAGGATTTCTGAACTCCCTAAACATCCTTCCAAGTCTTCCTTTATATGCCATATGCCCAGATGCTACTGGGCAGCAGTGTGCTGCTATTCTGCATTGGTGATCCATAACTTCTCAACTTGATCTGTGTGGTTCACGGGCTCAGGTTTTAAATCAGTGGCATTATTTTATAACTAATCATTCAATTGTCCAAAAATCTGAAGAGATGATTAATTGTTAATTCTTTGCTTTAAAATTTTTTTTATAAAAAAATATCCTGGGAATGTTTATTTGTCAGATATCCATTATACTTTGTTATAGGAAAGGGTCTTTTCTATCAATATATGTGAATGGGTAAAAAATGACAATAATATCTGGGAGCTTGTCTGATGTTGGGGATGAAATAAAATGCTACATCTATCCATTCCTTTTTTTGTCTCACTTTTGCTATAGACTGTTTCATCGGGCGCACGCGCCTGGCCCAAAGTTAACTTCCGGTCTGTGTTTGTTTATCAGTCTGGCTATGGCACTGGCTACAAACGCAGTTAAAGTTAAGGTGATGAGTAGACAAGTTGGGCTCAGGTGGTTGTGCTGTGGGATGTGTTTCCCATACATTTATTTATTTGTGGCACTCACCACAATATAAAAAAATTACAGATTTCCCAAAAGGCTTGGTTGAATAAACATGAGCACGCACTGCACATTTAAAAATCATAACCAGGCGCCGGTGTTTTTATTTCACTGAATTTCTGAAGGAAGACAATCTTTAGACAATTTTCGATGTCATTTTCATTTCATCTTGCATGTTAGATGCCTGATAAAGCAGCGTTTGTGAGCTCTGCGCTGCTTTTTGTACAGCCGTTACTGGGGAAACCTCTATTTCTCCTGCTTTAAAGCACCCCCTGCTGGCAGAGAATGAATTTGCATTTTCAGTAAGTCGGTCTGATTTACGCAGCAAACATATTTTGCTTATCAAAAATAATCTACTCTAAAGGGACTACTTAGCTGTTATTATTGATTCTATTTGGAAGTCTACTGGAAGTTACCAGTAACGTTTATGTTGTTGCCGTTGAAACTGTCTATAACGACTTCAAATGCAGTCGAAAGCTGTTATTTTTGGAATATTTATAATCAACATAAATAATGGTACAGAACACGTTGTTACAGTAGACCTCGTTGTTTACGTGTTTAAGCCCAATGTTACTTTCACTTTCACTTGCGTTATGCAGGTGATTTATAAGAAATCGTCTGCTTGCAGTTTGTACGTCTAACCGGGTAAACGAGCGAGTAGTAAACGACAAGCAGACTTAAATGTTTTAATATTTCTGGATATATTATAGCTTATTTTAACTTCTATATTGAAAGTATGTATGTTTTCCCATCGTGTACTTCTGCAGTCGGGCGTTTCGACCATAGACTGTAAAAGGTTTCAACAGCTGAGGTTGGTTTTGTCCGCAGGATGTTTATTCACAAATAGACTCTTTTTCTGTTCACTCATAAACAGTTCTGTTAAACAGGGATGCTCTTTAACTACCATTAATCTCGGCGCTGCTTTAACAAAAAAGAAGGAGTTCCCTTAAAAGGTAAGTCAAAATCATTTATGTGTGGGAAAGAGTACTTTAACTTACATTATTACTAGTATCGTCGATACTGTGCATAAGCTGACCCTGTATGAAGTCAGGATATGCATAAGTTAACTAAATTCTAATGCCGATCTTCTAAAAATTAAGAGTGGCTATAGGGCAAAAGAATCAATCTCAGTTTTTAATTTGAAATGTTCTTTTTTCCTGACAAACTACGGTATTGTAAAGAAAAACAAGATAGTAGACTGTTTAATTTCACTTTCGTTTACGCACAGCAAAATCTTGCTTGCTTGAAAAAACGTACTTGTGCTGTTTTTCTTTAAAATCATTGACATTTGATATGGTGTTTTTCTGTCTGATGCAGACAATAAGTAATTTTTAGCGTCTGAAAGCATTTTTGGGCCTCTGTATAGGCTATGATTTAGACGGAGGCTCAGACCCGACAGGCTTTTTAGACACACCGTCAAAACATAGGCTACATTAAAGTTTACCTTTCATGCAATGTCTAATGTCTAACTTCTTTCAAGAACTTCTTTCATTGATCATAGTTTGCTATTATTAATTGAGAACTTATTTACTGGTTTCAGTTCTGCGATGGAGTTTACAGATGAGGAGAAAATATGGCTGCAAAGAGTGTCTGCTGAAGTAAGAACACTGTTTTCCCTCTTTTTTTATGTTATTTTTTATATTTATTTATTTTTGTATGTTATTCCAGCAGGTGGGGGAAATCATTGTCTAATCAAGTCTAAAAGAAAAAACAAACCAAAAAACGCTGTTAAGTCTATGCCATGTGATGGCAGTATAGTACAGGGCTAAATTAATCATTTCCTCAGTTGTTCTACTTTATGATTTTAACCTTACTTTGAATACAATCATCTGCTGCATACATAAATGGAAAATAATAATAATATTTCACTTATTTAGATACCTGAAGGAAATGAACTCACTGCAAAAGAGAAGCAGTTACAGGAGAAAGCAAAGCCAGAGACTGAATTTCAGGCCCAGATCTTCCAAACTATGGCCTCCATACAATTTGGACTGAATGATCTAATAACCTCAACAATAGAGGTGAAAAACTCTGTCCAGCAGAGGAGCAGCGTCTCATCACAATGTGGATAAACATCAAATACCAAGATGATGTTGCGTTTACTTTTTCTTTTTGGTTATATAACTGAATATTCAAAATAAACTAACCTAAAAAAAAATCTTCTGTACATAACAGTGATATCAAGTGACTTTGGCACTTTGTAATTGGCCGCAAGAATACAAGTTAATCTTTTTCATGATCTCAGCAGGGTATTCTTACGTCATTAATGATTTATTAGTGGATGTCAGGTTTAGATCATAGTTACACCAGAGAATGTAGCATTGAGTTTTAGTGACCTCAGCTCATGAAATGTTTCCTCCGCTATGTACAACAGGACACTTCACTATGCTATGTAATGCTGACTTTGAGAAAATAATGCTATTGCTGTTTGCATGCTCTTTTATTGTTGTACGATCTATGAAATCATGAGAAAACAGTAAACCAATTTGTTGTTATTCTTTTTTTTTTTTTATGTTATTGGTGCTTTTTTAACAATAGACATTAATGCTTTTGAAATGTTTGCCATGCATAGTTCTCCAAAAACTCAGTATGCTTTGTTTTTTATCATGTTTGCAGGGATGATAACATCTCTACCTCAAATACAATAGCAAACCGTATACAATACATATTTTAGTTTGCACACATGTAAAATAAATCGGACCATGGGATTTTGGACAGTTGCAGAGTTCTAATTTTCAGATTTTTCGATATTGTTTATTTATATGATCTCTATCCATGACTCACACAAAGCTTTAAAAAATGTTATTTTCAAAATGTCTGTGCATTCCACTCTGTTTCCAATTTTAGCCTAAAGTTTTGAAAGAATTTTACTGTATTTTAAAATGAATAAAAATGCAAATGAATCAATGGAGTGTATTCTTATATATTTGTATACAGTAATTTGTAAGATCTCAGTATAGGCTACACGATTTCAGTATATTTTTAGCTGCTTGTGTGCAGAAAATAAGTCAAACTTGCTGCTATTACTCTGACATCCACACGGTGGTGTTACTCTGCAAGATTACAAACGCCACAACGACAGAAAAACAGACCAAGTCAAAGAGACAGAGACAGACTGAAGTCTAATCTTCTCTTCAGTTGATCCCTGGCCCCAAGTGATATATAGCAGAGCCGGTGAGCACTCCATGAATCTTCCATCTCCTGCCCGGGGTAGATTCTTACCATATGTTTCATCGGGCACCTGGCCATGCGGGGTTAGAATGCTCCATTGAGCTAAACAAACTGAGCTTCATTTGCACACAAAACTCAGTGTAAGAGGACAATGAGGGCTGCATGAGTTCGGTGTTCTGGATCAAGAGTCTCCAGCACACATGAACAGCGACATGGCTCATCAGCTAACCTCTGGAGAGAAACTAGTGAAAGAAACATTCAGAGATCCGCTGCTACTAAACAAATTAATGAACTTTCTATTCATTAGAGAGTCCTAATTTTTTTTTAATAAATTAGAATAAATGTTTTTAGAATAAATATCAGAAAGATTTCTGAAGGATCATGTAACTCTGAAGACTGGAATAATGCTAAACACACACACACACACACACAGGAACAAACGGCATTTTCAAATATATTCAAATAGAAATTCAAATTCACAATATTACTGTTTTTACTGTATTTTAGATAAAATAAATGCTTTTGAGCAGAAGAGACTTCTTTTAGAAACATTAAAAAATCTTACCAATCTAAAACTTTTAAACAGTTGTGTGTGTGTGTGTGTGTGTGTGTGTGTGTGTGTGTGTGTGTGTGTGCACCTTTATTTTTAAGAGTGTACTTACATTTATACATACAGCATTGGTTGTGGCTTATGGCTGGCTGGAACTTATACTTCAGGCTTGTGCTCATTCACACAAATTACAGTCATCTCTCAGTCAGTTAAGTCATCTGTCAATGTAAAGTGTTTGGACTGACAAAATGTTTAAGGCCTGTGCTGCCTTTTAAAGGGATAGTTTACCCAAAAATAAACATTCTGTCATCATTTACTCAAGTTTACCCAAGTTACTGAACCCTTGTTGGTCCCCATTGACTTCCATAGTATGGGAAAAATTACTATGAAAGTCAGCGGGGATCAGAGACTATTTGTTTACCCACATTCTTACAAATGTCTGTTTTTGTGTGTACATGTGTTCAGCAGCAGAAAAAAACCTACAGGTTTTGAAGTTGAGGGTGAGTAAATGATGACAGAACTTTCATGTTTTGGGTGAACTATCCTTTTCAAAAGAGTCCCTTGACTGACAGGTAAATCTCTAATACTGATTTTAGACACACATATGCCTATGAGATTAAAGTTATTCAGTTTCTAAAACCACTATGTCTTATTTTACTGTACGTAGTAAAGTTTTGGCTCTGTAAGTTAAACAAAGTTGCATATACCTACCAAGGCTGCGTTTCTTTGATCAAAATTGCAGTAAAAACAGCAATATTGTGAAACATTACAATATATGTATATTTTTAAATGTAAAATATTACTGTGGCAGCAAAGCTTAATTTTAGCAGTCATTGAGTGTCACGTGATCTGTCAGAAATCATTCTGATTTGCTGATTTGGTGCTCAAAAACATTTCTGATTATTATCAAAGTTGAAAACAGTTGTGCTGCTTAATACTTTTGTGGGAATTGATAAATTTTTTCAGGATTATTAAGTACAAAAGAACACAATTTATTAGAAATGGGAATCTTTTGTAACATTATGAATGGCTTTTACGGTCACATTGTATCAGTTTAATATGTCCGTGCTGAATAAAAAAATATCTTAAAAAAATAAAAATAAAATAAAATAAAATAAAACAGGGAGCATTTGCTAAAAATGATGACAGATTGCAAGACGGATACCAGATTGCAGGAAAAAAAATAAAAAAATAAAATAAGACTGCTTGCTGCAAAGCAGAACATATATAAATGTTACTATTATTCTTATTTAAACAAGAAAAACACTTTTCACCGCCAAAGTCTTGAAATATTAATAACAGATGCCCCAACAGAACATATAGCCATGACTCCAGATCAGAATAATTGATTGACTGTAAGGATTATAAGTGTGATTAAGTCATGATACCTGGTTTATATTCGAAGACTGATTGGTTACAGCTGAAGAACAGCATTTAATATCCAAGACATTTGTGATGGTAACACTTTATTTCGATAGTCCACTTTAGACATTCTATTAACAGTAAGTAACTTTGCAACTACATGTCAACTAGCAGTTAGTAGAGTATTAGTAAACTGTCTGCTTAATATCTTCTAACACTTTCTTTGTCAAATTATTCTACTAACCCTTAACCTACCCTAACAGTCTACTCTGAGAGTTAGTAGACATGTAGTTGCAAATTAATGAGAATTAGTTGACATGTAGTTGACATGTAATTACAAAGTTACTTATAGTTAGTAGAATGTCTAAAGTGGACTATCAAAATAAAGTGTTACCTTTTAATTTTGCACGTTCATTTCTTTTCTAGTTTTTATTTTAATTACTGTGGCAGCAAAGCTTAATTTTAGCAGTCATTGAGTGTCACGTGATCTGTCAGAAATCATTCTGATTTGCTGATTTGGTGCTCAAAAACATTTCTGATTATTATCAAAGTTGAAAACAGTTGTGCTGCTTAATACTTTTGTGGGAATTGATAAATTTTTTCAGGATTATTAAGTACAAAAGAACACAATTTATTAGAAATGGGAATCTTTTGTAACATTATGAATGGCTTTTACGGTCACATTGTATCAGTTTAATATGTCCGTGCTGAATAAAAGTATTCATTTATTTTCTTAAAAAAATAAAAATAAAATAAAATAAAATAAAACAGGGAGCATTTGCTAAAAATGATGACAGATTGCAAGACGGATACCAGATTGCAGGAAAAAAAATAAAAAAATAAAATAAGACTGCTTGCTGCAAAGCAGAACATATATAAATGTTACTATTATTCTTATTTAAACAAGAAAAACACTTTTCACCGCCAAAGTCTTGAAATATTAATAACAGATGCCCCAACAGAACATATAGCCATGACTCCAGATCAGAATAATTGATTGACTGTAAGGATTATAAGTGTGATTAAGTCATGATACCTGGTTTATATTCGAAGACTGATTGGTTACAGCTGAAGAACAGCATTTAATATCCAAGACATTTGTGATGGTAACACTTTATTTCGATAGTCCACTTTAGACATTCTAGTAACAGTAAGTAACTTTGCAACTACATGTCAACTAGCAGTTAGTAGAGTATTAGTAAACTGTCTGCTTAATATCTTCTAACACTTTCTTTGTCAAATTATTCTACTAACCCTTAACCTACCCTAACAGTCTACTCTGAGAGTTAGTAGACATGTAGTTGCAAATTAATGAGAATTAGTTGACATGTAGTTGACATGTAATTACAAAGTTACTTATAGTTAGTAGAATGTCTAAAGTGGACTATCAAAATAAAGTGTTACCTTTTAATTTTGCACGTTCATTTCTTTTCTAGTTTTTATTTTAGGAACTATCAAAAATAAACAGAGCTAAAATTAAATTATTTTGTTTAATTTAAATGCATTTTTTAATTCTGCAATTTTTCTTATTTTTTTCCTTCGTTATCTACACCATGGTCTACATGCAGCTCAACAACACCATTTATTTTACATGTTCATTTCATTTCATATTAGAACTTTTATGTAAAGAAATGTCAATAATAAACAGGAACTGAAATTAATTTGTTGAAATGAAGTTCTGCGACTTTATTTTTGATTCATCATGGACGACATGCAGAAAACAAAAAAGTTGGGAAAGTGCAAGCTCTCTATGGGTATAATGTCAACAAGCATATACATAAACTTACTTGGTGTCTAAACACAATTATCATGCTCGATTTCAAACATCTTTTTTCAACTCTCGCTCTTTCTGCCTCTCAACAGGCCAAACATTCAAAGGGGGACATATTTCAGAAGGGAGACTGAGCAAGACAGAGGTATGCACTCAGTATTTTCCTCATTTTTTCTTCCTTCTTTCGCTCTGCTTTTTCTCCCTCCCTCGAAGGAACATTTACTTTAGCTCCTTAAGAGAGAGGCCGGGAGGCTCGGATCCCGATTTGGGTGCCCACAACTCACCAGGGCCTGCAAGCCTGATGAAGTTCAAGCTGACAGCTGCATAAATCACAGCCCACTGGAGCTAATAGGTGGCAGTATTCAAATCCAGCCCCCTGCCTCGGACCACCCAGGTAGCCTTTACAGGAATAGGAGCATCCAGTCATATCTAACACAACTGAAACTGTACAGCCATCTGAGGCACTTAGCCCCCTGCTCGCCCCTCTGGCTGCTCCTCGACGGGTGGGGGGCTCTCTTAGCAACACAGGAGAGGCCCGTCTGGCATCCGGACTACAATGATTCATATTTGGCACTTCCATAAAGGCTTCAGTTTCAGGCCCAATATGGCATAGTCAGTCTTA